TCTGCCCGGCCCCGCCGTCTCGGGCCCGGCCCCGCCCCCTCCGTTCTTTGGAGCACAGTCACTAGTATGATGGCTTCAGTAGTTGTTTATGTAATTCTCTCATTTGCATACACAGCACTTCATCAGTGTATTCTCGTTAACCTGGATCTCCTCCTCCAAGGAAAGCTGTTGGCGGCTCAGACCTTTCAGTTCTACCTCGGCCTGTGCCAGTGCGTCCTTTCATCTAGGCATTAGTTGAAAACATATGGATAGAGTTTTTTTCTCATATGGGTTAGGAATTCTGAATGAGACAAAGAAAATACTGCAAAGAACAAAGTGATCTAGTCCCTGAAAGCAGAATCAAGTTGCCAATAAACAACCTTTGATACACTTTTAGATACATTGCAGAAACATTAGAAAGTTAGGACACAGTCCATACGTATAAAATATATACTATGTCAACTTAATATATTGTTCTCTTTACCACTCATGCTAAACACATTTACTGTCATATATATGCACACGCTCTCCGCATTTTTTTAAAGATAAAAATACTAAAAATCCATTGGAGGCATATATACTTTAATTTCAATTTAATCATACAATTAAATAGTCAAGGTTATTCATATAGATAGACCTCTTAATGCACTAAGCTGTAAGTCTTTTCAAAATTATGTCATAGCACTATCTCCCTCATCTTACACACAAACCACCAGCAGTGAAAAAATCAGCTTATAGTCTTCCACTCTCCTGCAATCAGTCTGCTAGCATGAACCAGGTGTCTTTACCAACAGCTCTCTGAAGTGGGAAGACTTTAGAAAATCTCTACTAATACCTTCTGCATAGCTGTGAAAACAAGCTAAATTACAGGGAGGATGCAAATTCCCCCTGGTGAATTGGCAATAATTTTACTGCCTAATATTTCCTTTACACAATTATATGCTACCAGGCCTAAACTGGCCAAGCACTTACCTGTATCTTTAGTGCTACCATCACACAGTAAAATTATGCATGACCTGGGACTGTGGAGGAATGTGATATACAAAGCCAGTATTACCCCTCTTGTGGTAGCCATGATGGAACTTGGCTCTGTTAGTCAATAAAAAGTATTCTGCTGTAAGAATGTAAATAGATGTATCGCATGTACCAGTTTTGGACAGATTTCTCATCATGCTTAATCCAAACTTCTTCAAAGCAGTATCTCCAAAGTGTTTATCCTTACAGTGCATTTGGTGGAGCTACAGGTGCACACTTACTCCTCAGAATTACGGTCATTCAAGACAAAATAAAAACCTGAAGACAGTGGCACACAAACAGCCCACCCAATCTCTGTCCATGCTGTGAGCAATACCAAGGATCCTGCTAATTTTACTAAGCATTTTTCAGATCCTTATACTGTGTATTTAAAAACCTTTCAAACTGTTTCCACAGTGTCACAGCAACAGTATAGCTACACTTCAAACAGAACTTGATGATACAGACCTAGAGCAGTTAACTTATCCTTTGCCCTAGTACACTTTTGGTGGTTTTGTTTTTTTTCCTGAGACTGCTAACAACGTGGTTGCTTCATTCATGGTTTTAAGTAAACTTGACTAGAAAGGGAGACTGAATTAAAATGATATTCCAAATACTACTGAACTTCTGTACTTTTTTAAACTGAAAATCAGAGCACACAGCATCATGACTAGAACAAAAATTTTCTAAGCAAAAGCTCTCAATTTTCACTAATTTTACTTGGTTATCTGTCACTTCATTCTAGAAGAGCACTTGACATATTATAAATGGTCATCAATACAGAACCAAAGTAATCTTTATAAATATCTATAAAAAGCACCAATGCAGCTTTAAAAATATTCTCTAGCATGAGCAGAAGGCTTGTGGCTTTTAGTTTTTACTTTCTATGAGCCTGTTCTTAAGGAAGAAATAATTGTAAAAGGCTTTTTTGAGGATTTTTTTTTAGTGGTTTTGTTTTTAACATTCACTGTGAAAACATACTGATTTATCAAAAAGAAAACCAGGTGACACATGACCGTTTTGTCTAGTAAATCTGGAATAATCTAACTGTATTGTCACTGCATAAAACTATGTCCCCAGCATTATAGAGACAGAAGCAGCAAATTAGCTTCCTCTGATCTCTGAACAAAAATATTAAAACCCCAACCTACTACCAGCACCAAAATGACAGAATTTGCCTAGCTTTTTTGTCTTTTTCAAACCTATTCATGCATTACTGACACAGTGACGTGATCAACACTTCATGGTACTGCTCAACACTTCAGTCAGCCAACTACACAGCTGAATGGAAGCAAAGGTACAGTAAAAAGCAAGAAACAACACTGTTCCATTTCTAAAATGTCACTCTTCCCATTAGCAAACTGTACTTGACCCTTCTGGCTGGAGAGGTGTCTATGGTTTATTCAAAGCGACGTAGATGACTGTATAGAGACTGCACATAGGTGAAGACACACATGGGATCTGGCTTGTGACCCATCACCATCATGTCATCCACTTCTATCAGACGCTCGCAGTGAGCCATTTTCCTGTAGTAATAATAAAACAGAGCAAATCAAGAGTTAAATCTAAGGCCTGTAGCTGCTTACAAGATTCATTTGCTGCGATGATTTGAGCATCACTGAAACATTTAAGAAATCCTGACATCTATCAGCAGCAATTCAATTCACAATTAAATGAGCCAGGTCAGGCTGCAGATGTTAATTTTTGTGACCATGGAATATTCCTGTTCTTTCCCTCTCCTCCTCTATACTGGGATCCAATCCAAAGCCCTGTAGGGTTATTTTTTCCCCCCACTGACTACCATTCACATTCCTGTAGCATGTAGCCCAATCTCACATTACTCTGCCCCAGCCTCAGTTTCTGGTTATTATATAGGAAGTTCCAAAAGAATGGAAAAACACAGGAAGAGATGAGATGTGCCAATGAAGGCCCATATGGTTGTGAACTGTTTGTTCTCCATCACCCCAGTATATATGAGTGACTTGGACAACAATCTCAGATGATCAGGTTGGAGAGCAGAAGTCTGACTGAAACTGGATCAGCAGAACAGAACAGATCTGCAGAGGTCTAAAATGTAAAATCACATTGCACAAAAGCAATTTGATGAGCAGAGCTTGTACTGGGGTGAACAGCAATAAATAAGAGAATAGCCTTCTCTGGCACTTGAAGAAAACAGTTTAAAGACAATCACACCTATGAATAGCAATTTCTGTAAATACCTCTTACCTAACATTTCTTAGTGTTGCATGCATGTTGTCACCTGTTCTCCCCCATACTTACTGTTACATGTAAACTGAAGTAGAACACTGCAGCTTTCCTTTGAGAGTTGTAAATAGTTTTAGAGATCAATCACCTAAAAGTATCATAGAATCTCTTTCAACTCACTGACAAGCAACAAAATTTTTTAGATATACATATATGTGTGCATATAAAAACCCCTTCTAATTCTCAAATGAATTCTTTGCTAGAGGCTGTAACAAGGAGAAACATTAAGAATTTTGAAAGTTACTGCACTAGCCATGGTAGTATTTTGAAAAAGAGTACCAAACCTAGCTGCATACCACATGGAGTGGTCTTATGTAAGAACCGTGACACTGACTCAAAAAAGTTACTATTTCTGACTGACAAGCTCACACTCATAATGAGTTAGAATTTAACTGCCTGCTATACAGCATCAAAAAGAATCAGGACAATGTGACTGAGGGTATTAGCTCCGTTTTAAGAAATGGAGTCACCAGGATGAGATGTTGAGCAGCTCTCAGCCTTGATCTGAGTTCAACCTTCCCTCTTGTTCAACCAGAGCAACAGACAGACAGAGCTGAAGTCTCCCACATGTTCTATCTGTTCTCTGTGCAAAGCTGTATTCTCCTGTTTGGCATGACACATGCAAGCTAGTGATATAGGATCCACAACAATAATGATAAAAATCCTCACTGCTGCCCAGGTGCATTAGACTTGAACTGGAAGCACTTCACAGAGAGCTAATATGGTACTCACTCAGCCATGGTGAAGGCCAGCTCAAAGTTCTGCTTGCGATTAGCTGGGTCAAGCTTATTATAATCAAAAGCTTCAGGAAAGAAAGAATGCACAAGAGCACAGAATGCCATCCCATCATTCCAGCTTGAGGAGAAGTTCTGGAGATCAATGTGCTGTCATGATGAAAAAAACCACACATGTTAATACAGCATTTGGGAACAAAGAGCAGTTGCTTTTGTTCCATGCAGTTTTTCTATCCTTTCTCTCCACTAACAAAAGCAACAGAGCACAGGCTTTATGTTTTTCTTCCCCTCTTTGTATAACCACTACATTATTGGTATTCTGGGGGAAAAAAATGGCACACTCAGCAATGAAAGCGTTTTGCCTAAAATGCCCAGATGCAAAGCAGACAGTCAAGGTCCCCGATCCAAAGCCCACTGAAAAAAATGGGAAGAATCCTGCACAACATAAGTGAACTCTGGAGCAGACCCAATGCACTAGCTCAGTATCTGTGGAAACTAAGGACACTGCTTATATATAATCATAATCATCCTATGAAGGATTTATAATTGAAGAACAATTCATTTTGTGGCTGTGAATAACACTAGATAAACACTATGCCTACTTGCTTTGCCCAATTCAATGCCTGTTTACACAGAGATAGGTAAAAATATAGGGAGAATTACACCTACTGTAAAACCTGATTCGTAAAATCAAATTCTTATTGTTACTTTCAACTGCCACAGTGAAAAGAAAATATTTACACTCTTGTCTCATGCTGCTTTCCCATCATATAAAAGTCAAGCCCCAGCTTTTCTGGTAAGCAACTAACAGTAATTTTTATTAGTTCTGTTTATGTATACTATAATGTACAGTTCAGCAATAATTATGCACATTTTATAGTAACATTGAAAAAATATTACACACCCAAAAAAACCACCAAAAAAACCAAAACCAAAATTTTTCTTTCTCCTGGAAATGGCTTTGGCAATTGCAGCTTAAGGCTAAGTAAAATGAATATAGTCTCAACCGCTGTATTCTTTTATTTACACTAATGTTACCTCATAAAAATTGGCTCACAGTGTGATTAAAACCAAACCATTTACTACAAATTCACTTGTCTAGTACTTTGGTCTGTTGTGTAGCAAAATGGCCATAGTCTCCTCCATGTACTGGCAAAATGTTATTCAGAACTTGCCATATGTAATGAGAATGCAAAAATCACACCCTGCAACTAAGAAAAAAAAAATGTGAGTGTATACTGAAATCTATATCCATAAGCACAAAAATGTAGACTTTCAGAAAAACACTAATGCATTGCTTTAGTAGGCATACAGAATCTCACTCATGCAATCAGTGACTGTCTTGAAGTGCTACCCACGCAAATCATGTTTGCCTTACCCACACAAAACCTGATGACCTTAAGGAAGTTAACTCATTGTCTAGCATATTTTACATTCACTTTTTAAGTATTTTTTTTGGCAAATTCTCCTGAAAAGAGAGAGAGCTGAAAGTGCTAGTGTATATTCACCTTATATCCTATGGTTTTTGAGCGACACCAGTCTAACAGAATTTGTTTAATGCTGCTAGCGCTGGCAACCCCAAAACTCAGCGACCTCTTCAGCTTAGCTCTGGATTCTCCTTTTCCTCTGGAAAATTAAGAGAGATCAGATTAAATTACATTCTAGAAAACCTTAAACCTACTTGTCAGGAACATCTATGCAACCCTGCCCAGGTCAGTCCCTGCCCAGGTGATATTTGAGAAGCGTGTTGCTGGAACTTTGACTTGTGTGTCCTGCAAGAAAAACTAATTTTTATTCCAATAAAGCCAGGGTTCCAAGCCCTCGTCTTTTTAAATCATACTCCCATCATGGTGCATAAAGAAGAACCCATACATCTGATCCTCAATGAATGCCAACAGGAAGTCACCATATGACCAGTCTTACAATGACAGAGAACTCTTTCCTGATAAAATGCACCTGCTTCTTCAGCTGAACAACTCCAAAGCCAGAGGAATCTGTAGCTGTGAATTTCCAGGCAGGGTCTATGAAGTCAGGGAAGCTACACATGACGTAATATTGTTCCTTAGCTCAAAATCCTACATTGACAGACCTCCCACCCAACTGTACTCCGCTGGTAATAATTGACAAGTTAGCTTCCCATTAACAAACCATTCTGGAGACAAGAAGTGTGACATACTTTCCATCATCATGTTCAAATTTCTCAAGCAGTGCTTTCCTGGCCTGCGCTCCTGTAGTCCGTGGGAGAGTCTGAGACCGCACCAGTTCTCGCCTCCTCTCGACTTGGCGATGTACAGTGGGAGGAGAGGAGCGAGAGCTGGGGGTCACATCACAGTAACCATCAGTGGCACTGGAGAAACATAACACAAAAAGTATGTGGTTAAACTGATGCCAAGAAAAGGCTGGAAAAGAACTACTCACAGACTTGTATCTCTGAGTAGCAGGTATTTGTTTATTCAGCCCTGGGCACAAGGGGGATCGCTCCACCAAACTCGTGCAACCAGGGACAAAAACTTCAGAGTTTATATACATTAGATGCTCATACATACTCATTATTTCCAGGAATGGATGGTTATTATTATAATTAGTTCTCAGAAATCATTATCATATACTCCTCCTCCGTCTCTGCCCTCCTGGCATCAATCCCATGGTCCTGGGTGGTCGTTTGGTGGTCGTGAAGACGAAGCAATATACTCCTCCTCCGTCTCTGCCCTCCTGGCATCAATCCCATGGTCCTGGGTGGTCGTTTGGTGGTCGTGAAGACGAAGCATCTTCTTTACATTAGATGCTCATACATACTCATTATTTCCAGGAATGGATGGTTATTATTATAATTAGTTCTCAGAAATCATTATCATATACTCCTCCTCCGTCTCTGCCCTCCTGGCATCAATCCCATGGTCCTGGGTGGTCGTTTGGTGGTCGTGAAGACGAAGCACCTCCTCTTCTTCAGTACCCTTTGGACACCCTTATTGTGCAACCATTTACCCCTTTGTACAATTTTGCACGCCTTGCTGGCCTTGCCTATATCTTAAATATTTTGTTTCTTCACTCCACACCTTATATGGTCTTAGTTTTCCTCCTACTGCCAAGGTTTGAGCCTACTGTCCTACAGATAAGATGTGCTGTTTTGCTAACTAAGCTAAAATAATACCATTAGTGAAGCTTCTTGTCCACATCATGCAATCCTTGCTACCCTGCCAACCAAGCTAAAATAATGCCATTAGTAAAGCTATTCTTTATACTTTCTGTTTTGACTGTTCAATTTCTGTTTTCAGTCTACTTCTCGGTATCAAAACAAAAGACTAACCCTCTGCAGTGCCAGGAGGCAGCAAAAAGGTCCAACTGTTGCCTACTCTAAGCCTCCCAAACCAGCCCTTTCAAAGAGGATTTGAATTAGGCAAAAGGCATTTAAGTAAAAGTCACATTTTTACTGACAGACAACAGCACTTAAGTATAGAAGACTCTAACGTACTTTACAAATATGACACAACTGGACAAGTCACAAGCACTTGTAGCACTGAGCAGAAAACAAACACCTTTAGGAAAAAAAGAAGAGGAAAAAGAACAGAAAGAAAAGAAGTTGTGGCCACATAGAAGTACTAAATGCATTTAATTTCCAGCTTTGGGGATCCTGGAGGATAAGTCACATTGTAAAAATGAAACTTGCAGAGTAATTCAGGAATTTTTACTAATAGTGCACAGAATTCTAAGCTCATGTCAGTGTTACTTCACTGACTGCAAGCTGGTGATTTGATCACAAAATATAGGACTATATTCCAACTTGCATTTCTTTGAGCCATAAACTGCTTCATCAGCATCAACAAAGTAAGCCACATATCACATTTGGAAATGTTCCCTATGACAGAGGTGGGAAACAGGCAAAGAGCACAGTGTGACACATTAATTTCTGGTATGGATGGAGGTCAGATATGACAGCAAGTTCTCTAGGGCGCTCAGCCTATCACAACTCAAATATTGAAGTGCTGATGCTGGAACTACCTCAGAAGAAATGTAATGCCTAATTTGGGATTGTTTTCAAGGTAGATGCAAGCCCAATTTAAGAGATTTTCATTGGCTGCTCTCCCATAGGATGGCTGGATATACCAGGAGTAATTGTGATACCATGTGATCTTATACTAAGTAACTGCAACTCTGAGTTAATCAAGAATGTGTAGTAGTCCTCAGCAAGGCATTTATCTACAAATGAAACTCTAGGCTAGCCAAACTAAGGATATTTGATGGCAGTCATATGCATGTTTCTAAAATAAGCTCAAAGTACAAATTTCAACGCAGCCGAGTATTTTTACAAGTGTTTTCAAAGGGCCTGACAACTTCCTCCTCCTAACTAAAATCCACCACTGGCAGGCACTGAGAGTCTTACTGACTAACACTGCAACAATGCAGAAATCCACAATTAGGTCTACTTGAAACTGCCCTACAAAATTTTTATCCTTTCTCATCTCTATTCCACTTATCCCACAGCCAAGCTCGCAACCTTTAATGGGCTTAAAATACACCAAGGAGTCATCTGTGCTTTGGTGCAGCCTGAAGAAGGTGGGGTGGCCTGAAGAAGCCTCCCCAAAAAATAGAGCCAAAAGTCCTAAGGCTACCAAGTGCTGTGATCACGGGCGAGATGTTGATGTACAGCCTACTAGATGTCTTGTGAAAAGAAAGGCGTGAGGGTTAACCAAGATAGGGCCCTGATACAGGAATGAGAGGTGCAAAATAGCAACTGTTGCAAGGGGTTTAGGAGGAACAAATCATCCTGAAGCTAGACAAATAGACCACACATAGGATCATACAGACAGCAGGTTGCTCATTTCCCATGAGAAGTATGATCAACAGATAACCTGGTATGTTTCACCTGAGAACATTCAGGGTATGTATTCAAGCACTGCCATATTTAATGAAAATTACTATGTACAGTACATCACTAGGATGGTTTGAGTACAGACAGTGTGATTACTACCGTAGTCACTGTCTGGTTATTCCCTGAAAGAAGAAGTATGGTTAGGAGGAATATGCCCATTTACATGTTAATGGACATAGTACATACATTAAATGTATTACCTAGGTTAATGGAAGATAATAGTACAAGTAGGTTAATGCACAATTATACACCCAATGCTAAAGTACAGCATCTGGGACTCACCTGTTCTCCAAGTCAACAGATCACCTGTCCATTGAGACTATATCGACCACAACGGCCTAAAACACAAGTCATGAAAAATACGTACCTTTCACCAGTTTTGGCTCCACTATGCATCCCATAGCTCACACTTGAGACAGACTTAGTGACAGGAGTCTCTACAAAAAAGCAAGAAAGACAAGATGCATTAAAGCAGAAATTTTCCTCATGCACTTTCAAGTAATCTCCTGATAGACAGACACGCACTGATTTTCACTCATTGCACTGAAAAGCTGCAGGCCTCTAACCTCCCACCAACCAAGCAACCTGGGGTGGGATTTTCCCCAGGGGTTAGATTCCTCTGTAAAAGTGTTGTACTGCAGCGAGAATGGTATAAACACACCAGTAAGGGCTGTGAGAGGATGCCTTTGATAAAACTGCACTGGGAAGGTCAGATCATTTCAGGCCCTTGTGCAAGACCTCAGAGGAGGGCACACTGCCATGGACATTTCAGTGAAAGGTAAAAAATGGTGCTACAGCTCAGCTTGCAGAAGTCATTCTGGCAGACACAGATTCCTGGGGAGTCCAACATAATTGAGAGCATAATTTAAATTACCTAATTTCTACCAGAAAATATTTTAGCAGAACAGACTCCAAAAGGTTGCAGAGGTGGCTTAAACCCAATTTTGCATCTTCCTCCCTCCATCCCTGAGCACCTTTGGTGCTTTGCCTCTTAGATCCCAGCTCTGGACTCCAGCTATGCTCTATAAATGAAGATCAGTGTCTTGCCCAGCTTTCACACACTACAGCCAAAACTTGTTGCATAAGCCAGCAACTCATTTCTTGAAGGCTCCTTCTATACACAGACAAGCATTGGCATCTTAGACACAATCCAACCTGATCACTGTCCAAATCACTCTGTGAAAATGCTAAACTCTCCACACTTCCAACAGGAGGGATCCAGATCAACTACACTTCTTATGTAAAACACCCTGGTAAATGCTGCCATACAGATGTGACAAATTTTTGACCACAAATACCTGCCAGATATTTATGCAAATCTCAGCTGTTTTAAGATGAGGAGGACTGTGATCCCTATTCTGGATGAGCTATATCTTTTGCTAAAGAAACTAACATTTGAGACCACTGTGAAATGCCAGTACATTGTGCAGACAGTAACAGCTTGGTGACATCAATCAGAAGTACTTTTGGATAGAGCTCAACTCATCTATTTCAACTGAAATAAAAAATCCTTAAGGCATTTTGTCCTTTGACATTCCTATTACAAAGGGGGCTACTTACTTCTATCCTGCTAAAAGGAATTTGCTTCAATATATGTGGGTGAGCACACCACTTTCCAACTGCCAATACCTTGTGTACAGTCACAGTTTGCACTTGATCAGCTGAAATTCTCGCTGCTCAAACTGTCTGCCACACTTACCTAGCATCTATGTTTTCCACAGCAGAGATCACCTACATATGTACACACCACTGTGCAAATAAAGAAAAGTACCCCTTGCTTTGAACTGAGAACCCAATAAAGCAGAGAAAGTTTTCATGATACCACAAGTCTGCGTGCGGTCTTGCTAGCAATTTTAATATTACTATGTACCTACTGATCAGAACTACATGCTCAGAATCCCCCAGACATAGAGCTGGGAATCCCTCTCAATTTGTGTTGCAAAAGGGTTTGCTGATAGGAACACTCACCTCCAGTGGCAGATGAACCCACTGTTCCCATCATAATTGAATTCCAGTCCTTCGCTGTAACAGCACAAAAAAAAAAAAAAAAAGACAAAGAAAGGTTTTGCTATATTCTCATCTTTAGTAAGATAAAAGTTGAAAGAATAATTTGCAAATAATTCCTCTCTCTTGCCGGCAATTCCATGTGGTGTCTCTCTGTAACTTCTGACCCATATATAGTAGTACAATTTCTAAGTGTCACAGCTCAAGGATAAATGACTTCAATATGAGTGATGGGTTTTTTTACTCAACTCAGGTATAACTAAGATTCTTCACTCACTCTGACTTGTAAATATGTGCCAGACTGCTGTCAGTCATTCCTCCCTCCAAATGACTATTGGAACCTGTTAGCCAAATATCTGCCTCACTTCTCAAGGGGCTTCAGGTCTCAAAGCACTAAAAACTACTGTAAATTTCAATAAAATAGCTGAGCATGTTCAGTAACTGCTAGAAGACAGGCTTCATTGACAGTGGAATTGAGTGCACCCTCAGCAAGTTCGCTGACCACACCAATCTGTGTGGGGCAGTCACAGCTGGAGGGAAGGGATGGGACATCCAGAGGGGCCTTGACAAGCTTGAGAGATGGGCCAATGCAAACCTCACGAAGTTCAACAAAACGAAGTGCAAGGTCCTACATGAAGAACGGATGTGTCATCCAGAGGGACCGTGATAGGCTTGAGAGGTGGGCCAATGCAAACCTCATGAAGTTCAACAAAACGAAGTGCAAGGTCCTACATCTAGGCCATGGCAATCCCAGGCACAGCTACAGGTTGGGTGGGGAAAGAATTGAGAGCAGCAATGAGGCGAAGGACTTGAGAGTGACAGTGGACAAGAAACTCACAATGAGCTACAGTGTGAGCTCAGCCCAGAAAGCCAATCCAATCCAGGCCTGCATCCAAAGCAGCGTGGGCAGCAGGTTGAGAGAGGTGATTCTTCCCCTCTAGTCTGCTCTTGTGAGACCCCACCTGAAATACTGTGTGCAGTTCTGGTGCCCTCAACATAAGGAGGACATGGAACTGTTGGAGCAAGTCCAGAGGAGGCCACAAAGTTGCTAAGAGCACTGCAGCATCTCCCCTATGAAGACAGGCTGAGGGAGTTGGGACTGCTCAGCCTGGAGAAGACTGACTGGAGACCTCAGAGCAACTTTTCAGTATCTGAAAGGAGTTGGAGAGGGACTCTTTATTAGGAACTGCAGTGATAAGACAAGGGGTAACAGGTTCAAATTGAAGGAGAAGTAGTTTAGGTTAGATATGAGAAAAAAGTGTTTTACTGTAAGGGTGGTGAGACACTGGCACAGGTTGCCCAGGGACATGGTGGCTGTGCTAGCCCTGGCAGTGTTCAAGGCCAGGCTGGATGAACCTTGAGCATCGTGGTCTAGTGGGGAGGTGTCCCTGGCCAGAGCACAGTTTGGGACTAGATAATCTGTAAGGTCCATTCCAACCCCTAAAATTCTATGATTCTATTTAGCTATATTAGACAGCAAAACTTCTCAGCAGCTGCAACATTACAGCCTAAAGCTCTAGCTAGGACCCACAATATTCCAAATCAGGCTGTTCCACAATGTCCAATGTAGCCATAGAAGTAAGGTTTCATAATTATCACCAGGTCACAGGACAATTCTCCAAGTAAGGAAATGGGATGCAGCTTCAACAAGTTGTATTTGTGTCTTTTACCTGACTGGTTAGAAGTTTTTACTGCCATTGCATTTTTGCTCTTGCTCTGTCCCAGCAGGCCAGTAGATGAATTAGTTGTTCCTGTTGAATAGATGCTTTCTCCTGACAACTTGTCTGATGTCCTGGTTACTGCAGTAACGGGAAGGTGGGGCATCTGTAAGGTGACTGCAGGGGCATGGGCTTCAGGAGAAGAAGAGTCTGACATCTGAAAAGCAGTCTGTCCATGGGAGACTTTTGCCTGACTTCCTAAATTAAATCAAAAAAGGAGATGGAAGTAAATTTGCTTGCAGATTTGCAACAACTTTATTTTACAAATCATTGGAATTACTCCAATTCATCCTGTGGGACACTGTAACATTTATGTGCAGAAATATCCCTAGTGTAAGTGACCCTTGCAGCAAACATACTTGTCCTACATGAATCTCACCAGGAACAATGTCCTCAGATCATTAATCCACTAGTACCTGCATTTGGCAAGCTCCTTTCTCTTTCACTGCACAGCCCTTACTCTCAATCTGTGTTAGGAGGCAGCACTTTTCTTGGTTTTATGAAACACTGTATGACACAGTTTTCTCTAAAATGGAGATAGAAAGTCATTCCTCCACTGAAGGATGATAGAAGCAAATGGGGTAATCTGCAAGATGGTTCGGGATGCAAGGCTACAATGGCATCCAGAATAGCAGGCCTTATGATCCCAAGACATTGTGACAGCAATCGCCTCTAAATTATGAAACACCATAGCGCATGCTTAAAAATAAAGCTTAAAAGGTAAGCTCCTAATTAGGACATAAAGCATTGGTGCCACAGGACAATATCCACACTGAAACCATAGCAGATTCTAACGCTTCCAACTTGTGAGACCTGTTCCACGACTGCTAGGAGCAAGTATTTTACAAGCAGTGCTGCTTCATTTCATGCCCTGTTCCTACCTGATGAAGACCGATGCCCATTTTCAATGATGGAAGAACTAAAAAATCTTCTAAACTCAGGTTTGTGGTGGTCATCCAGTTCTACACTCTGTCAGAATAGACAACAGACATGACGGCTGAATTTCAAACAGCAGCAAAAGTGAGAATATCCAGAAACACCTGGCAAGAACAGGTCTTCCTTGTACTAGTGACCACAACACAAGAAGGGAACTACTGCCTAACCCCAAAAGCCAAGTCTGGAAATGGAGCATTGGCAATGTAGGACTCACATCAATCTTTGCACACTTGTCCTCACAGACTCCATGTACCTAGCAGGTGTTATCTTTTGTTAGATAAAGGTATCACCACCCACTGTGAAGGTGATAAACAGAAGACTCCACACAACAGAGGAGAAATTGAGATCGCATGAAACTATGCCCTGCAATTTTTTCTGTTTGCTGCAGAAAAAAATTACACTACATTATGAAAACATGTTGTAAAATTATTATATAAAGTAAATATAATCCTAGAACTTTACAGCTGCATTCTAATCTGTAACTTCTGTAAGGATAGCTTTTTTTCCTGGGAAAAACAATCTTCTCCATAATATTTGCCAACATAATTCTAGAAAAATGAGCCAGGAATTTTATTTGGTGGATTTGGTGGAAGGTGGGTTTGGGGGTTTTTTTGGCCTTTTTTTTTTTTTTTGGTTGGTTGGTTGGTTTGGGTTTTTTGTTTTGATTTGGGATTTTTGGAGGGTGGGGGGAGTACGAGGACAGGGCACGCAAAACACCAAGAGGAACTATGTGATTTTTGGCTGCAGTAACTAAAGAAAGAAGAAATTGCTTCACAGACACATGAGCACTTCAGTTAAAAAAATGTAGCTTCCAAGAAGCAGCATATGCAAGCAGTAGAGAGGAACTCCAACACAAAGTCCTTGAAAACATTTTAATTGATTCTAGACAGTTATCTACCTATATGATTGGCCAAAACCTTTAGGAATAAAGAAAAATACATGTAATATGCCATTATATATATAATCCAAAATTCTTATAAACTCAATCCAAACAAATTTCTTTATTTTTTAAAGACAGACAGAAAGACTCAAGATAGATACAGAAGATTTTATACTGCACTTAAGTATAAAAGCAACAGGACAGAAAAGGAAAGACACAGGGTATACACTTGTAATAACTTAATCTGTATGCTTTTCATACACAGGAAAGCTGGTGGTTTGATTTGACTTAGTTATTCCATAGCTTCATGCAAAATTATTCTCTCATATAAAATATATGCATTATTATATCATATAAAATAGAGAAACCACATGATCAAGATAAATCAGTGAAAATATTTTCTTGAAACTTGTTTGCTGTTTACCATGCATCTGTTTACACTCATCCAAACTTAATTAAGAACACCAGACAATAACCTTAACCCACCTTGCAGATTTTTTAAAAAACATTTCATCTTGTTAGATGCTGCAGAGTGCACAGAGTGCTTTAATATCCATTACCTGAGATACCAGAACTTCCATTATGTCAAGTACAAATCCTAGTCAACTTCTGGTAACTACAGTCTGAGATCTTGCTAAGAATTTGTTAACTACTAGTAGATTACAGTAAGGCAGCCTAAACACTATCTGTCATAGAGTTGTGGGCTTAAGATTCAAATGATTTTAGATACTAGCATCAACCTCCAGCTGATCACTGGAACAGAGGTGTACGTAGCAGAATTTGAGGTACACACTACTGAAGCAGAGAAAAATCCTTCATTTGACTTTAAGGTAGGGCCTTACATTCTCAGGTCACAGTCAGCATCCAGCATTTCAAGACTACAGTGTCATTGGGAGATAACATTAACGTTTGGTAAAATCCCATTAATCAGACTTCAAAAAGAGGACTTACTGCCTTGTAAGCAAGCGTCTTACAAAGATATAATACAATAAAACAGAGAAAGAAGTGGTGGCAAGACATTGAGATTCTGTGAACTGTATATAAGGCTGACTTGGATACAAAATTTCAAACAAAACAATACCAAGTTCAGAAGAGGACTGGAAATTTCCTGAAAATGTGGAAGATAAAATCTCAGAAAGCAACTTTTAAAGGTTTCTCAGCTAGGACCTTTCATTTAATTCTCTTGCCTAGTTTCTAAGTCAATGATCTTCCTGGAGCTATATGTGCACTTACATGCTTCGCTAGGTAAAAGCACAGAGATTACATGATGAGCCAAGACACTTAGACTGTTTACCACCAAAATGCATGAGAAACTGCTTTTTCTGGTTTGTTTTGTTCTTTTAAACAACCTCCACTCAAACAACCAATCATGCCTAACACCATGTTTTAGCATAATATTGTTTACAGGCCCATTAACAAGGGTGACAGATTTCCACTGAAGCCCAGTGAACGATTCAGGTGCACCTAAGGTAGCTGGGAGTTAGAATGTCCATTCCACAACTAGGTTAGCCTGCAAGTTCTAAATATCAAATCCATAATGACGTTCATCTTATCAATCCAAACAAGGAGAAGTTTTGCTTTGTTTTAATTTTCCTCTATGTTTCTTAAAAGAAAGGGAAATAAACGAGATTGGGGAAGACAGACCACGCTTCTCACTGTTTCTTAGCATCTAAAATGTTCGTACCATCAAAAGCACTACAGGTCAGTTATCTAGGCTCCACTGATTTTTGTGGGATCTTTCCCATTCAAAGGCCTCATTCTGGACAGATTTTCAGAAGAGCTCACATACAGCAAAGCTCCTCTCTTTAGACAGTTAGCTAGCTCAGCCCCAAAAGCAGGTTTTTTGCAAAGCTAGTCTGAAAACGTTTTTCACAACAGATCACCAGAAGCTTTTATAAAATCACTTTTTTAAAGCAACATTTTTCTGTCCTGATAATAAAAAGTATTTTTCAATTTTATACCATCTCTTATCTCCACAGAAAATGCTTCCATCCACATACACACTCTGACTTGCTTTTGCTAAACTGGACCTGTGTCATTGTATCCTGACCATTTAATTTGTGAAAATAAAATTTTTAAATTTATTTATTTGCCAAGAAAAAAGTACTATGCATGAGCAAATTCAGTTATCACTAGCTGCCAGGATTAACTTCAGAAAATTACAACAAATATTAATGATGGAAACCACACAGAATCGGGGATTCAGAACTTTAATTACTGTGTTTAGTGTAATTGAGATCCTAGTCAACAATTACTGCCCATAACCACAACTGAAATGTAAAGCATAGCTAATGCAGCTCCCTAGAACAAACTCGTGACATACAGTTAGAGCAGTTTAGCCATTCGACTCAGCCATTATGACCTGAATGTGTTGAGTTCCTGTGCAGGCTGTAAACATGAAACTGCTTTATAAGCCTGTGGAGTGGGGGTGAGGAAAACAGTCAAATGAGATGGTCATTGCAAAGGTCACATAGCACTCGACACACTGAATTGGCTTTCTAATGCAATGACAAGTGCTGTGTTAATTTATCTTATGCAAACCCGATTACCACATTTTGGCTAACAGTGCCAAGGAAGAAACTGATACCAGACTGAAGGACAGGGAAGGCGGCCCATGTGCTGACAGAACACTGGGAGGATCTGGGATCAGATTCTGATGTGCATTTAGTAGCATCAGGCTCAAGTACTTTTAAAACCCACTTTGTTTGGAAATGACAAGCTTCTGACAAACCCCTTAACGATACTACTGTCAATGCTGGCTACATAGATTATAAGTGGCAGAGGAACAACTAGATATATCTATGCTTAATAATGGGAAGTACTCATTTATACAACTCATGTAACAACAACATGATGAGGAACTGGTGAAGTTGAAGAAAACATAGTTAACACTAATATTTTGCATGTCTTACCCAAGCTTGGTGTTAAAACTAATCTCTCTGTAGCCCACTGGTTCCCATGTAATGGAGGGTGATAACAGCTGTAGGGCTGCTGGAATTTCTCCTTCGCTGCAAAGAAGTTAACCTTGGAGATCCGTAACTCAAAGTTGCAATTATCGCAAGCCAGTAGTGAAAGTCCTTCACATTCAGAAAAAGTAAACACCAGATCATGAGATTTGAAAGAAAAGAAATAAAATTTTTATTTCCTCTCTGAGTCTCTAAAGTGCAGGTCTATTATGTCTTCAAGCTGGCAACAAGACCAAATTGTAGAAGAATGACAGACAAATGAGATTCCTCTCTCTCAAATGAGAGATCTCAGTCATTCGATGTCTTTCAGAAAAACACCAATTATCAAAAGGGTCACAATTAGAATAATTGGATCTAGAAATGCTGTTTATCTATGAGAAGTACCTCCCCCTCCTCTTACATATACCAGATGAAGCTTATGCTTCACTTTGATGAACAGTACCTGACTTCCACAAAGGCAAGATTTGACACTCTGCTCCTAGCATAAAAAGAGATCATTGATACATCAGATATGGGGAATGATGAAATTTGTGAGGAAATGCAAACAAGGCTGCTATACATCTGCAAGAACTGCACCACATTTACCCCTTAATTCTTCTACTAGAGAGTCACTGTCCATCAGACAACACAAGAATTCTCTCCCTGTAACTGACCACGCAAGTCGAAGAAACAGCCTTGCACGCCACGAGCATATTAGGAAAACTTTTGCACTGAAGAAAAACAGGAGAAGAACTTCTTGCAGAACCTTTTTTGAAGTAAGACTGGATATAAATGCCCACAAAGGAACAATTCAACCTCGGCAGCCTCAGCAGGTGCACGTGACTATGCCACAGTGAATTAAAACAAAACAAACAGCAACAACAATCATCTAGGTAAGAATCAAGGCAATCCTGAAATGCCACCATCCCAAATGGATATTTGGAGGCAGTCTAAGAGAATAGTAAGAAGGAAATGGAGCTACTGGACTTCCTTTATCAAACATAGGAGTTGAGACAGTTTAGAACTATAGTATGTAATGCCAGGTCATTACTGGATCACGCAATCTCCCTGTATTTATAGAGTCATAGAAAGGTTTGAGTTGGAAGGGGCCTGAAAGATAATCTTGTTCCAATCCCCTACCACAGGCAGGGATGCCACTCACTAGATCAGGTTCCTCAGGGCCCCTCTGAGTAAACAATTTCTTCCTA